GTGTCCACTACTAGAAAATCCAACTTCACCGATCCAAAATCATCGATGTAAGAATCTTTCTCGATGAAGCAGCATCTTACCAACAAAAAACATGGCTGCAAAGCCAGAAACAATAAAAATAGGAGTAAAATATATTATTTATGATTCAAACAAAATCTTTGTCGATAAATTAATACAATACACACGTGTTCCTTGTAGATAATATCAAGCAATATTCAGTCCAGCGGCACGCCGACCAAAACCCAAATTACCAACGAAGAGGGGACCTGTAACTGCATTATCTGCAACGGGAATTTTCTCGATGAATTTATCGATGTGATTCTTGTTGATAATTTCCCAATCCCTAACCCAACCTCGTGAATTCAATTGCCTGTGATTGGAATTGCAGCTTTTGAATCCAATTTACTAACATGATTCTTGTCAGTAATTTCCCAATTCCTAACCCCCCATGAATCCGGCTACTAGCACCTGGTTTTGCAGCTTTTTATCTAACTTACCGACAAGATTTCTGTTGGTAAGTTATATTTGCCAACCAAAGCTTTCACGGTGATGATCCTGGTCAACGAGCATCCTGAAACAATGCAAAGATGATCAGCATTAAAAGGTAGCAATGTGGATCTCTTCGGTAAGGGTCACTCTATTGCCTGTTGAACCCCCCTTCCCCTTTCATTTTGGTCTTCCTCCTTTCATTTTCGTTTTCCTCTTCTAATAGCAAGTAGTTCTTGCTCTCCTTTCCTCCGTTTTTTCCTTCGAATCACTTTAACATTTTTCTTCTTACAATGTGGTGGATCAAGTAGTGGTAAGTGAAACTTAAGTAATATTATTATTTTTTATATATTTTATGTATGTTTTATTTTTTCTCTGAAATTTAAACTATCAAATATTGTCATTAATTAGTTCATTGGATATTAGTTAATATTGTTAGATTTTCTGTTTTAGCTAAATTTGATGAATAGTTATGAATAATGTTTTGATAAATTTTTATTGAAATTTTAACAATTAATGATGAAATTTTAATATTTATGCCAACTAAAATGACCAAATTGCAAAAAAATCTATTGAATAAATTTCAAATTATTGCAT